ACCACATGTACTAAAAATAAGCATCTATAGTGACTCATGTCTCAGAGAAAGGGAGGGTCTTGGGTTTCACATAATAGGAAACTTAGGTTTCTATTTAAACCTCTGAAATTTATAGCAGGGGTCTCAAATAGGACCTTCAACAGAGCTCAGAACCTTGTGTGGTGTATTTCCAGAGTTATATTTCTTGTAATTCCTGCTCTTCCTGGATTGAGGGAGATAATACATGTAAATGTATTTTGAAAAAATAAGTCTGTAAAGTCACATTCCATTTAAATCATTCTAAATGATGTTGACAGTTTATTTAACCTCTCCATATGTCTAAAAAGTGGGAATTAAAAGATGAATTTCATAAGATTGGTGTGAAGACTATGATTGTTGGTTGATTGATTTAAATTGGAGATTGTGACTCCTGTCACTCTCCTGCATGGCCCAGTAACCCCGTCTGGCAGTGTTGGTATTTCAATTGTGATGAAAATTAACAGTGCCTTTTAAAAGGTTACATCCTATGACATCATTTATTACTGAGTTCTTTGAAATAATCTGTTATATTGAGACATAAGTTAATTGATTGAGTCATATTACTTTGTTGAAGTTGTATATATTAAATGAAAATTAAAATGGAACTCTGCAAAGATAATGGATCCTACTTTAGCTTCCTCCAATTTGGATTTATACAGATGGGTTGTTACTCATTTGGTGAGAATGGATGCCAGAGTTAGTAATATTGTCTGATTAATGAGGCATTACACTAAAATGAAAACATAAGTGGCACACAAATAATAGTTTGCCCTGTTGAATATAATTTAAACTTAAGTGATTCGTAAGTCAATTTAGAATCCTGCTGTGTTTCAGAGTTGTTCTAAGCACCAGGTTCCATTTTGCTATAGATGCAGGAAAATACTGAAAGATTGCATGTTGACTTTTTCCAGGTAAAATAGACTTTTGCTGAATCTAGTGGAAGTAAAATTATGAAATCACTTTTTTCACAGTCACCTGAAGCCTCATTTAATACAGAAGTCTGTCAGTGTTCTCATTCTTTATATCATTTCCGTAATCATCTCTTCTATCAAGTGAAGTAATGATGAACCAGGGGTCAGCCGTATCCAGACTGGTAGCATCTGGGTACAGACAGCTCTGCCTGCTGATACTTCAAGTTCATCAGCTGTAGATGCTGTCATCCCTTCTCATTTCCAATCTTTACTTCACATTGGAGATTTCCTCACAGACTCCGCAAAGCAGATCTGACTTAATGGCTATATTTAAGAGACAGTACTCACGAGGATGCCATGTCTGACATTAATGCTTACATTCTCTGGACTTGGTGTTCAGGGAGCCTGTCTCTGCCACTCTGGCGTTTTACTTTACAATTTTGGTTTTACCAAGTCCCAGTATCTTCATCTCCAAAATCTCTCATAAGTCCTGCTCTGTCAGCGTCAGTTTATTGTAACAATCAAGTGAAACAATGCATATGAATGTGTTTTGAACGTTTAACTTCTATTTGCCTTTGATAGGTTAAACGTTTAACTTCTATTTGCCTTTGATAGGTTAAACTTTGTACTACATCTATTTTTGTTGTTCTTGCTACTCCTGTAATAATTTTCACTTTCTTTTCTTCATCCATCTAGACCAGTAGATTCAGGAAGTTAATCACTCTGGGACTCAGCCATCACTGTACTATAGATATGCCAGAAAAAGTACCTCTTTGATAATTTGCCAAATAAAACAGTTTTTGCCATTTTATTCTTCTCTAAAGCCAGTGTTTAGAGAATAGTAGTAATCTCTGTCATTTATTACTATGTTCAAACACACTGTATTTTTTCTTAAATCTCACAGATTACTCTGCAAAGTAATATTACCTTAATTTAATGTGTAAAACAGCTTGGACACAGAGACGTATATCCTGTTGAATATCTTTAGTTTTAGGTGGTAGAATAAGAATTCAGAGTTTTGTTTTAACCCTAAAGCCTGTGCATCTTCCTCTCCATTCCCTGACATCTCTCACTTATTGCTAAATTCTTGAGCTCATTGTAAATGACAAATTAGTGATGAAGAGCTCTATTATGTGGCCAGCTAGTCATCCTGGGCTCGGCTCTGTGCCTTAGACAAGTCATTTGACTTCTGTCTCAGCTCTTCCTTTGTAAAGTGAGAATATTAGTAGTACTATTCTCACAATTGCTATCAGGATTAAATAAGTTAGTATGCTTTAACAATTAGAACACAGTAAGAACTTTAATGTTAAATAAAAATTTTGAATTCATGTATAACCATTCTTTTTCCTTCTAGCCTCTCTTGGGGTATTATGTGTGGAACTAGTTTTTGGTGACGTTTTTCCTTTTGCAGGACAGGTATACTGGAACAGTCATTGATTATTGATCAGTCTGCATTTGATCTAGAAAAAACATTCTGTTATTTGCTTATGTTAATTTAGTAAAATAACAATAATAATTTGACACATAAAATATTGAAATGTTAACTCTGTATGGTCAGTGGTTGTAAGGATGGATTGCAATTAACTTTTAAATGCAGAGCACTTTTATTCTAACCTGCCCTTGTTTGTATACTTCCCCCTACAGAAACCAGTGAGGGTGTCTCCTTGCATCTGGGGAACACAAAAGATTTTATTATTTCCTTTGACCTCAAGTTCTTGACAAATGGAAGTGTGTCTGTGGTTCTTGAGACCACAGAAAAGAATCAGCTCTTCACTGTACATTATGTCTCAAATACCCAGCTAATTGCTTTTAAAGAAAGAGACATCTACTACGGCATTGGGCCCAGAACTTCGTGGAGCACGGTTACCAGGGACCTGGTCACTGACCTCAGGAAAGGAGTGGGTCTTTCCAACACAAAAGCTGTGAAGCCAACCAAAATAATGCCCAAGAAGGTGGTTAGATTGATTGCAAAAGGGAAGGGATTCCTCGACAACATTACCATCTCTACCACAGCCCACATGGCTGCGTTCTTTGCTGCCAGTGATTGGCTGGTCAGGAACCAGGATGAGAGAGGTGGCTGGCCAATTATGGTGACCCGTAAGTTAGGGGAAGGGTTCAGGTCTTTAGAGCCAGGGTGGTACTCTGCCATGGCCCAAGGGCAAGCCATGTCTACTTTAGTCAGGGCCTATCTGTTAACAAAAGACCATGTATTCCTCAATTCAGCTTTAAGGGCGACAGCCCCTTACAAGTTTCTCTCGGAGCAGCACGGAGTTAAAGCTGTGTTTATGAATAAACATGACTGGTATGAAGAATATCCAACCACACCTAGCTCTTTTGTTTTAAATGGCTTTATGTATTCTTTAATTGGGCTATATGACTTAAAAGAAACTGCAGGAGAAAAACTTGGGAAAGAAGCGAGGTCTTTGTACGAGCGTGGCATGGAATCCCTTAAAGCCATGCTCCCCTTGTATGACACGGGCTCAGGAACCATCTACGACCTCCGTCACTTCATGCTGGGGATCGCCCCCAACCTGGCCCGCTGGGACTACCACACCACCCACATCAACCAGCTGCAGCTACTCAGCACCATTGATGATTCTCCAATCTTCAAAGAGTTTGTCAAGAGGTGGAAAAGCTACCTTAAAGGCAGCAGGGCAAAGCACAACTAGGGCTTATAACCAAAATCACACTTCAGCCTCTGCTGTACACGGAAAGTACAGGCTCGATCTCAGCAGAGCTTCGGCACGTTTTAAAAGGTTGTACACTAGGTTTTTGTGGGTTACGTAGAGTGATCGGTGATCCTTAAAGCCAGTCTTCTGAGATAATTGCATTCCTTTGGGTGGGTGTTTAGAAATGTAGATGGCATTTAGCGCAGAAATGTGTTTAGTCAATGGGCTGAACAAAGGTGTTTAACTTTGTCTTGCTGTCATCCTATGCAGTTCCACAGTGAGCCCCTTTCAGCTTGGGAAAGACAGTGGTAAGTAGCTGTCACTGGCCAGCTGTCCAGCACTTACCTGAAAACTTAGGATGGGGTTCTTTTAAAATGTGATTATTTATATTTATGTTGAAAGCAGACTTTAAAAAAATGATGTGCTGTAATACAGTAAATATGTACTTGTAGCCTGAATAGTGGACTGTGTGCAACTTTTTAAAATGATGTTTCTTTTCTATAGATTAATTTCTTGGGGGCAAATGGGCATTTGTTCAATTTGTTATATACGGAAACTATTTTGAATTTATGGTTTTCTTGAAATATGTAAATTAAGAACACACCAGTGTTCAGGCTTCATGTTATATGATGTAAGCACAACTAAAATGACACTTGTTGACTGCACAAAAAATTACAGAAATGTTATGTTTTATGAAATGATCTACAATCAGTAAAGGTTTGATAATCAGTCTATCCTTTCCCGTCCCCATCGTGATGGTTTCTTTTTGTCATTATCTAGAATTTTTGTATTCCATTTAAGACTACACAAGAGTTTAGTCTTTGCGGGGGGAGGATTGGGGCGCAGGCAGTGGTGGTAGTAATTTTTGGACATTATTTGAAAACTGAATTATAAACCCAAATTGGGAAGGAGCTGGTGATTTTCCTGAGTCCAATACCATTACCCTTTTGGGTTTTTTTTCCCCCTGTAAAGAAAAATACCAGATCAAATAATAGTACAAGAAGGAGAGCAGGACTTCCTGCTCAGAACCTTCTTGGTCACCAAGCCATTGACTCTGCACATCGTTTTTTTTTTTTCTTTGCAATTTTTAGACTACTTCAGTTATTGGATAGAAGTGATACTACTGCATTTGCAATCAGACCTTTATTTGGGTTTTATATCCCACCTCCCATGAATAGATTCCATAGCCCTCTGACCATGGGCAGTGTCTGCTGTAGCACATCAGGCGTTGGGTCAAAACCTAGTTTCAGTATGATGGTACAATCAATGTAAACTGTAACTTTTGCAGACTGGAAATATGAGCCCCCCCCACCCCCCCGGTTTTCAGAGCAAGTCTGAGTCTGACAAGTACAGTGCAGTTTGTCCATGACCCACTGTCAGTGTACATCAGGAACCAGGAGGCAACCTGCCTCCAGACTAGATCTGGAGTGAACTCAGCCTCCAACATTACATAGAAATGAGAAAATGTATACATATATGCATATGATAAAATCTATATATTAGTGGCAAAGGGGGCCAGAGAGCAGAAGAACTGTAACTTCACTGAGAATGGTATTAAGCTGGTCATAGAAAAGTAAACTTAAACCCCTAACTTATGTGATCACTGTGTTTTGCCTACAACAAAACAGGTTGTGGGTTATTTTATTTCCCCCCAGCTTTTGACCTCTGCAGTTCTTAACGCATTACCTGTCTCAATAAGAGTATCTGGAGAACTTCATTTGTATTTTCAATGCCAATGTTTAAAAAATCTTGGAACCCTTCCTCTCTTCATATTTGTTGTTATTTAGACCAGTTCAGACTTTCTGCTTCATGTTTACATACTGGTACTTAAGATTTTAAGAGTCAAGGAAAATGGCTTGGTACTGCTTCTGTGACGAATATCAATCGGTGCCTTAATAATGTGACTGTCCTTTTCCACTAAAAAATGAAACATTTTGATCCAGAAATGGCATTGCTGTTTCATTGCTGTTGATTTGATTTCACACTGCCTTCCACATTGTAATAACAAAGTGGTTTCGCTTGTGAGCCCAGAATTGTAGAAGAGGGTGAGTTGAGCATCAGGCAGTACAAACCTGAAGTTCTCAAACTTTAGGCTGCCTGGACTCCTTTGGGAGCATATAAAACTACAAATTCCAGGTATTTAGCAAATCTTTCTGGAAGCGTAATGCTCTGCATTGGTAGCAGCCTCCAGGTGATTGCGATGCGGATGATCTGGGCCTGCCTGCTGGAACACTGCCCGAGACCAGCCATTGCGTTTTTGTTCCTAAACACCTGTGGTGTTTTCTAGGGGTTTAAATCATCTGAAATGTTTACTTACCCTGAGTTTAGAATGGGGGAAGGTATTTTTAAAGTTTTGCTTTGTTTTGTTTCTTTGAAATTATTCTTTGTTTCAAGACTGAGGATTTTTTTAAACACTTACTAGTGTTGGCTTTGATACTAAGTTAAATCTATTGCCACTTCAGTTGTAAAACCAGTCAAAAGTTTCCAGATGGAAGGTCAAGCTTGACCCTTTAGGAGTTATTGTACATAAAGGCTTCATCCAAAAACCATCCAGTGTATGTATGCAGATACAGAATGACACACAAGCACAACTCTCCAGATGTGGCGGTTCTTTTTCTTTGTCAGTGTACAAACTTTCACTGAAAGCTGCTATTTTCATCCTCCTTGTAATTGTTTTTCTTGTTTCCTCTCCATCGTACATGTGGATTCTATACCATGTGTGAAATATGCAATAACGTGTTTACTGGATGCCCTTCTGAAGGGTAGTCCTTTGTAAAGCTGTACAGACTTTGCAGTCGAAGCACAATGTGCACATGTTAGTTTTATATACAGCAAAACTTGATTTTTTGCAGATGGAAAGGTATTTTGTTTCTATACAAAGTAAATGGGTTGTTTGTGCTTAATGTAAAGCTGCTTTATAAAATTGTAAAATAAAGTTTTTATCTTAAAAGACCTATACCTGGCTGTTTCTCTTTCTTTAATTATTCTCAGATTATTTGAGCCCAGCAAGCAGACCAGCATTTACTGTTCCGCTTGTGACAATTACTCAAGCAACAAATGTGCATTAAAGTTGCTGTAGACCCGGTAAGACGACATGGGGTAAGTAGCATATGAGCCTCAGCCTCATGGAGGTTCAGCTTAGAAGGGGAACACAGTGTCCACAGACAATTTCAGAAAAACAAAATGCCAGACTGTGTAGTTAGTCAGGAAAGGTGTGGAGGAGACAGCTAAAGGAGGGTGTCAGCCCTGGGAACAGGGCAGAAGAGGAGGGAGTAACTCGCGCGAAAACCAGGGCACCGTGCCAACTGTGAGGATGTCTTTTCCCATGCTGCCTCAGCCTAGTAATCCACTTTTGTCTGATTTAGATTTATTTGAAAATGTATCTTTTTTTCTATACTGTAGCTTCCCCAGAACAATAAATACTAATCTTTCTCCCACCTCCACTCCCTTGTTGAAGAGTAGAAATTTAGGCCCCTAAAGGAAAGACCCGTTCTGTTTTGCACATTGTTTTTTACATTAGAAAATAGTCTGCACCATCTGTATAATAGAATTCCAGTTGCTCACCAACCTGTTTTTTCCCGCTGATGGTGCACATATTTTGACAGGCTGCCTATCAACACTGGCCTCTCTTCCTTTTCTACCATTCTCAGTTGGGAAACAGGTTACAAGCATTCTTGGTCAGGATGAAGCCTTAGGTTGCTTTTGCTATTTGTAGCCATACTGCTAATTATGTTGGCCATTCTGCTTTGGCACACAATGTCAGGGTGTTTGTCTCCCATTGCCTTTGAAAGTAGACAGGCCCAACCCCTGCCAATGCTGTCGAGGGCTTTGTTGTCACATGACCTGTCCTTTCCCAGAATACCTCCTAGTCTCCACAGGGCCCAGAATACCTCCTAGTCCTCACAGGGCTGTGGTAACCTGTCTCCTCTGGCCATCTCTGTTAGTCCATCTTAAGCTGAACCCATCAGTTTCTTCCCTCAGGAATCAGGAATTGGGATGGATAAAAAATCTAAAGCAGATTGACAGTGAGAACTATGTCTGAACACAGTCTTGACAATGCTCTAGGTCCTGGATTCAGTGCATTTTGGTTGCTGTTGCATGCCAGAGCCGTGAGTTACCACCACCACCACCACCACATGCTTCAGAGAAAGTTGGCTGGGTTTGATTTCTTTCTTGCAATTAATGAGCGCTGATTAATAACACGGTGTCTCCATTATAGAGAAAAATACAGATTCTACATTTCCGTCCAATCTTGACTTCTGTATTAGATTACAAAGTTTGTCATAACAAAATGCCACAGACGGTGGTTTAAACAACTGAAATTTATTTTCTCACAATTCTAGAAGCTAACCAGCCAAAATCAAGGTGTCTGTTAGAAAGTTTATTTTTTTCTGAGGCCACTTTCCTTGGCTGACAGGTGCTGCTTCCCTGCTGTGTCCACATGTGGCCATCCCTGCTGCCCTAATCTCTTATGAGAACACCAGTTATTTTGAATGTAGGTGCATTCTTAGGACCTCATTTTACCTTAATTACCCCTTCAAAGGTCCTGTCTCCAAGTACAATCACAATGAGAGGTCCTAGGGGTAAGTAGGACTTCAACAGACTTTTAAGGGATACAATTGAACCCACAAGTCTTCATGCAAGTGAACAGAAATTGAACTAGCCAGGATTGCCATTTAATTTGCTAATAACCAGTGAAGGCTAAAACCTTCAGACCTTTGGAGAGCATTAGATGGCAGAAATCTAGCTGTGGGACTCTAAAATCTGACTGCCATTTAGCAAAGAACATTGCTTCATGGGGGCTTCGGTTGCCTCATAGTACGGATCTTATTATTTGTAAAAAATTAACTTTAATAAATATTTTAAATATTATATGATGTGTGTAATATGTGCAAATACCAACATCAGTTGCTACATTTTTACCCCTGTCCATGTGTTACTTCCATTAGCCCATTATGAATATAGAAAACTCTTAAAAGTATTGTGGATAGAAGTTTAGCTAGGGTATATCAAAATTGCATATTGATTTTGCTTAATGGCAGCATTTCAAAATTGCAAGTCTGTTGTCACTAAAAAAAAAGTTAACAGGATAGGTAATATATAGGGATAAAGTAAAATTCCATTGTACTGAATCATTAATGATGTATAATTGAAAGTGAACATAAATTTAAACAAATTGGTGATGAATTCAAAAGTTTGCTGTCATTTTGGTTAGAAAAGTTACCATCTGGTTACTTGGCTGGTAACCTGTGAATGTATGCAACATTTCCTGATGGCTAAACAGCAGCAACCCCATATAATTCTGCTAATCCTTTTCCTAGAGTAGAATTTTTGAAAAGACAGGACTGCTAAGCAAAACATTGAGGGGCAGTAGCAAAAGGGGGAGAAGAGAATGCTGTGAGAATCAAAAATGGAGCAGCCCAAGCTCACGGCATTGAGGCCTCCCACTTGGAAGAGCCAGTGCTTTTCTGGGATTTTGCCCTGTCCTCATCAGCACCTCGTGAAATCACTGAGGCAAGAGGGTCGCTCCATTTCAGTCTAGAAAATCCAGTGTGGAACATTAATCTCTGGAAACTAGACAAAGGAGGAAGCCCCTGAAGTGGTGTGGGGGCAGTGGGTTTTGGCTTAGTGTGATTTTTACATCAGGGCCTACTGTCTTTTTTTATTAACCCCAGTGAAGTTAAATCTCTGCAATCAATCGAACATTGAGTAAAAGACCCCCAAGCCCATCATGACGTGGCAAGATAATCAACTTGTCTTCTCAACTCCTCCAGGCCACAGGGGCACTATCTCCATCTGGAAATAACACCGGAAGCAACTTCTCATGGCCTTGAATAATTATGTAGCATTCTTAGTGTCTGGATACAAGCTGTGGTTTGGATTGGTGTTTCTTGACACTATACTTGGGAGCAGGGGGTGGAAACAAGCCCCTCGTGAATACTCTTCAAACTAGATCTCATTCACCGCTCACTGACTTGTGGTACACGAAAAAGCCTAACTCTGCTGAAGTAACTCTCTGGACGCCATGCCAGCCCTTCCCTCTGGAGCCAGATGCACCATCTACCACGACAGCAAAGGTGAGAAGTTTCCTGGCTGAGACCCAGTCTAGATGCTCTTCCCCTGGGGGGCCGCGGGGAGCCTTCCCTCCCCAAAGCCAAAGGCCAAGCGAAGGTGGTGATACTAAGAGCAAAACAGCCTCGTGCTCACAGTGGGTTGGGCTCTGGCAAAAGAACTCCACCTGTGTTCTTTCTATTTCTCTTGACAGTCTTGGGAGGAAGTGTTTTGTGGACATCCAGATGAGGAAAAAACAAG